ATTGAAAGTAGTTAGATTATGTAGGAAATTGTGTGATCAATGCAGTGTAGGTGGGAAGGTAATGAAGGACATTTGTGGACACCGGAGGTGGTGTGAGAGGAGAGTGAGAAGGGACAGAGGGTCAGAAAGAGGGGTGGAAATAATTCTAGGAACTAGAAATGGAAAAATTTTTGTAATGTGCATGATTGAGTCACTATGCAGTGTGTACTGGATGGGAGATCGCATTTTGTGTGCTGTGATGATGCTTAGGGAAGGAATGTAAATTGAGTTACAAAAAAAAAAGTTTCAGGGAAAAAAATATTTATCTATTCAATGACTGCTGTAGGATATGTAGCCCCAGCTAGGTGCTACTTTATAGGATGCGTCAAGTTAGACTTGTGTTCTTTGAAATGTGTGTGTCACCTGTGCTTGCTATGAGGGTATTTGGACTGATTAGGGTCTTTGGTGATTCAATAAAATGTGGGGGGAAAACAGTATAGAAAGCAAACATAGATACCAGAGACAGTGAGAGAGAAGAGTGGGAGATGGCAGAGGGTAAGAGATAGGGAATCAAGGATGGGGGGAAAAAAGCAAAACATACAGAAAAAAAGAAATAGAAGATCATTTGCTGACAATAACATGTTTGTTGATGTGCTTGATTGAGACAATATACAGTGTACTCTGGATGGAAAATCTCATTTTGTATATTGTAATGATGTACAGTGAATGAATGCAAATAAATAAATTGAAATAAAAAAAATAGTTTCTCACATTCTGTGGACTGCCTGTTCACTCTGTTGATTTTTTTCCATTGCTCTGCTTTTAGTTTGATACAATCCAAACGGTCTATTTTTGCATTAGAGGTCTTATCTAACATTTCTTTGTCCAGACCAATGTCCTGAAATATTTCTGTTTTGTTTTGTTTTAGTAAGTTCATAGTTTTGGGTCTTATGGTAAGGCTTTTGTATATTTTGAGTTGATTTTCACATATGGTGAGATAGGAGCCTACTTTCTTTCTTCCACATATGAAAATTCAATGTTCTCAGTACCATTTGTTGCAGAGACTATTCTTTTTTTTTTTTTTTTTTTGGAGAGGTTTTGGCTATAGGGTGTGTGTGCTTGCCAGAAAGACAGAGAGATACAGAGAAACAGAAGTGAGAAATCACCTCCTGGGGTGGGTGGCCACACTGCATCTCTTCTCCTCCATTCTCCTCTCAGAATCTTGGGCATGCATGCACACACGCCCAGCGTGAGTTTAAGCCACAGGGTCTGAGAATCAAACCGTGGTCAACTACATGGGAGTCCAGCGACATAGCCATTACGCCAACTGCTTGTCCTGAAGAGATTATTCTTTCACCCAGTGACTGTTCTTGGAATCTTTATGAAAAATCTGTTGGCTATGTGTACATGGATTTATTTCAGGGTTTTCTATTCTATTCTATTGGTCTATGTGTCTGTTTTGTTTTTCTTTCTCTTTTTTAATTTGCTGCAGGATGTATATGCTTACTAAAGGGAGAAAGAGAAAAAAGAGAAAAGAGAGAAAGCAACCCCTCCGGAGGAGGGAGGACAATCATGCCACAATCTCTTCTCCTCTTTGGATTTTGTGTACACACACACACATATCTAACTTGTTTCCCAATTCCACAGAGTCTAGCACTAAAATCACAAGCAGACCATGTGGGATCCAGCAACATTAATCACCAGATCATGGCTGGCCCTATGTATCTGTTTTTATGACAGTACCATGCTATTTTTGTTACCATATCTTCATAGTGTGTTTTAAAATAAAGTAGTGTAATGCCAACAGCTGTTATGTTTGCTCGTGATTGTTTTGATTATTTGGGTTCTTTTGTGATTGTGCAAACTTTGTAATTATTTTTTCTGTTTGTATGAAGAATGACATCAGTATTTTCACAGGGATTGCATTGAATCTTTAGTTTGCTTTGAATAATATAGCCATTTTAACAATATTAACTCTCCTAATCCATAAACATGGAGTGGTGTATCTTTCCACTTTTTTTGGTCCCCAGTTTCATTGATTATTTTCTTATATTATTCACCATAGAGATCTTTCACTCCTTATTTAAATATATTCCTAGGTATATTATTACTTGTAATATATTATTATAAATGGGATTATTTATTTTCTTCTCTTATTTTTTTTTCTTTTGGTTGCCAGAGGCTGCAGCATAATGCAACTTGTCCCTGATTTGTGTACTGTGGCTTCTCTGTGCATGTGGGTTGTGTATGTAAGGCTTGATTAAGCCCATCTTAGGCTGGGAGTTGATCATGGTATAAAGACCCTATAGGACATGGTTGTCTCTCTCTCGCTCTCTCATGAAATAAATAAATAAACTTTTTTTAAAAAAATTAAAAATTGGGAGAAGCAGATGATATAATAGTTACTTCACTGGATTCTCACGTAAGTCGACCCTGGTTCGAGTTCCAGACCTGGCAGCTTAAAACACATCAGGCGTGGGACCAGCAGTTAGTGTTATGGCTATGTCGCTGGATTCCCACGTAGTCGTCTGCGGTTCGTGTCCTGGACCCAGTGGCTTAAAACTCACGACGGGTGCATGTGCATGAGTGCCCAAGATCCCGAGAGGAGAATGGAGGAGAAGGGATTGCGGCGTGGCCATCCCCCCTGAGGGGGTGATTTCTTGCTTTCTATCTCTCTGTCTCTCTCTGTCTGTCTGGCAAGCATGCATGCTTTATAGCAAAAATCTCTCTCGGAAAAAAAATTAAACATCAATAGATCTGTATTTTTAATTTTGATGTTACTACCAGTGAGTCAGGTGACTTGCAAAGCTGTGAAGTAAAAGGAGATTCTAATTCCCCTGAAATTACCCCCAAATAGGTAATACAAACTCAGCCTGCAAAATGCTAGATCTGTGTCCCTATATTATGTTTCATTCACACATAGATATTGAGGTCATTTAAAATCATCATAGGCTGGGGCCAGCAGATGGTGTAGCCATTGCGTCACTGGACTCTCACATGGCTGACCGCAGTTCAAGTCCTGGACCCAGTGTCTTGAAATTCACACTGGGACCATGTGCATGCATGCCCATGATACTGGGAGGAGGATGGAGAAGAGATTGTGGCAAGGCCATTCCCTTGGGAGTGATTTCTCAGTTTCCCTGTCTCTGTCTCTTTTCCTGGTTAGTGTACATACCCTAAAGCAAAAACTTCTCAAAAAAAAAAAAAAAAAAAACAGAAAAAAAAGAAAATGATCACAGCTATTATTGTAGAAGTAATTCAGATGCCAAAATTTTCCATAAGTAATGCTTGGGAGTTTGGCAGAGGGCAGGAAGGAATAGGACTAAAGGTATAATTGGATGGCCTGAGCCACAGAGCATAGGGATTTTTATAAGATTTCTAAGGCTGGAGAGTCATACAATGGAAACAGCACCAGGAAATAGGAAGGGAACAACTGCAGCTCTGACACCCGAGGAGAGTGGGAAAGAGGCAGTGCCAACCTCCCCTGGAAGAGTGCAGGCTTGGATTAAGGTGAGGAGCTAGGACAGCCAGGGAGGAGGCTGAAAAGTTAATAGGACAGAAAATTTAGAATTTTTGAAATTAAAATAAAAAGGTTTCAGAAATAAAGACAGTGAGCAGCTGAGTCAGGGAGAAGTATGTACAGAGAAGTATGCAAATGAACATTCAGGAAGGGAGAAGGGGCCCACAATGTCTGCCTTGTAGGTGATGAACAGAGAACCAGGTGAACTGGATACAGGTCTCATAGACTCAGCTGAGGCAGAAACAGTAGGCCTTACAGTGGGAGCAGAAAAGAGCATGTTTTCCATCTTGTGCAGATCTACACCATGGCAATGCCTAGGACAACGGGCAGTTTAGCAGTCCACTCTGTTGAGTGCAATAAAGGGCAGGAAACAGGGAGAGGACATGATTCCCAAGGGATGGGGCACAGTGGCTTCTCATGCACACTTCTTGGGATCAGTGTTGTAAGAGGAGATGGTGGAGACTCACAGGTACTCCCAGGAACTGTGCAGAATTAAACCTGTCAGTGAAACTGTTTATCACTCAAGTTTATGGGGTTTGGAAAGAAAGGAGCTGATATTTAGTAAATGTATCTGGAAGTGACCAGAGTCTCATGTTCTTCTCTGAATTCTCAATAGTACATTCTGGGTGGTTTTCATTTGTGTACTTTTTACTAGGTTTAACAGAGAAAGAAATCCGAAACTGCATCCGGATTGAAACAACAAGCAGTGTATTTATTTTCACGCATACAGAAGTGGAAAACCGATGTACCACTAACAAGATGTCAGAGAAATATGAAGGTAACACTGCTCCTTTAGCTATTTATTCAGTATACCTAAGGTAATTTTTAACTTTTTGTTTATTTCATTTATCTTCTTTGGACTCCTGTCTGTGGTATGGGAAAGGTGCAGATGAAATATTATAAGCATTAATTAACAGAGGAAATGATTAAAGTTTTCTTTACTCTTTGGCTATTTAATTTTTTTTATTTTCTTATTTTTTACATTTAATCACTGTACAACTTTATAGCATATGAAATGAATCATCTGCATGAATATACTGTATATTAGTCCAGTCAAAGATATTATCATATATATCATCACCAGATAATTTTCCAATTCTGTGTCTGTTAAACGTTTTGCTTCCCCCGCCTCGATTTAATTTAATGAACTTACTCATTTTTTTCTCGTGACCAAAGCACAATATTAGTCTTTGTTAAGTAAATATGGATGTGACACAGGCCTTCCTATCAAGAACCTTACAGGGGGAACCAGCAGTTAGCGTAATGGCTATGTCGCTGGACTCCCACGTAGTCGACCGTGGTTTGCGTCCCGGACCCGGTGGCTTAGAACTCATGCCAAGTGTGTGTGTGTGCGTGCCCAAGATCCCAAGAGGAGAATGGAAGAGAAGGGATTGCGGCGTGACCATCCCCCCTGGGGGGTGATTTCTCGCTTTCTGTCTCTATATCTCTCTCTGTCTGTCTGGCGAGCGCACGTGCCCTATAGCGAAAATCTCTCCAAACAAAAAAAAAAAAACCTTACAGGGAACCAGCAGTTAGCATAATGGCTATGTCACTGGACTCCCACGTAGTTGACCACGGTTCATGTCCCGGACCCGGTGGCTTAGAACTCATGCCAGGCGTGAGTGTGTGCATGCCCAAGATCCCAAGAGGACAATAGAGGAGAAGGGATTGCGGCGTGACCATCCCCCCTGGGGGATGATTTCTTGCTTTCTGTCTCTATGTCTCTCTCTGTCTGTCTGGTGAGCACATGTGCTCTATAGTGAAAACCTCTCCAAAAAAGAACCTTACAAAGGAGAAATATATATTAAGAACCATTAAAAAATATAGACTGCTCAGAGTCTAAAAGAGGTATATAAAAATAAGGCAATGAAAGTTCTGTGAACAGAAGAAAATAGGCAAAAGGAAATCTTAAGATGAATGTACATCAGATTTCGTGCAGAGAATTATTTAGGGGGGGTTCACTGTAGATTTAAGAAGACTTGAAAATGGAGAGGGGAAAAATTCAGGCAAGACTATTGAAGAACAAAGATACATGTCAGATTTTACAGAATGATTTTCCTTCCCAGAGTTTCAGGCAGTGCCTTTGGGCTTTCACTCTTAAATCTTAATCCCCAACTCAGATACTGTTTTAAACTTTGACACCAAGTGTCCAATAAAAATATCTGCCTGGCTGTCCATACGCATCAGTACTTCACCTATTTTCTCTCTACTGCAGTGATTCCTGTCACTATCTACCAGCATAGCTTTTACTTTACTGCCTAATAGGATTGTTTGAAGATTAAACAATGTGATGTTTATCATGGAACTAGCAGACTAACCAACAACTGTTGGCTACTTTGACCTCCCCTTTTTTTTGGCAGTCTCAATTTTGATGAATGACATTGCTTTCAACTAAGCCAATCAAGCCAGAAACCAGGGAGTTGTCTTTGATTTGGCCTCTTTTTAGCCTCCATATCCAATAAGAAACCATGTATAGTCCACTCTACCTACCAAGTACCTCCTCAAGTTGTCTCCATCTTTGCGTTTCCATGAACACACACCCCTACCCCCAGTCATCATTTCCAACCTGACTTATCACAGAAGCCTCCTACCTGATCTTCCAATCCTGCCTTCTTCCAGCCTATTCCATGCCTTTCTATGAAAAGAATCTCCACTTTACTCAGCAAATCTTCATGCTTTAAACATGTCATGGTTCCACATGGCCTTAAGATCATTTTCTGCTTCTTTTTCTACATATCTATACTTTACTCAGTCTCCTAAGCAAATCATACTCTGTCGTATGCCTTGCCATGATAAATAACTCCTTTCTCTTTTTAAAATTCGTATACTCCCTTACTTTGCCTGGTTGATTGCTACTTAATCTTCTTAGCATAAAAGGAAGCAGAATCACAGAAACTTGTGAATTTGAAGCTTACATTTTCATAAGGAAGACAGTCATGAACAAATAAAAATATAGTATTAGTAGAGAGGACAACCGGAGCTACCAGAGGAGGGGAGAGGTGGTGCATGGGAGAGGGGTGAATCTTGGGGGGTAGGTGGGAAGGGCTTAGGAAAGTGTTTAACACACACAAGAATGCATTAAAATGAGGCAAATGTATTATGAAATAGCATATCACAACAGAGTAAAGAGACATTGCTAATCTTATACATAAATCTCAAAAAAAAATTTACAAAGCTAGTAGAGCAAAACTTGAAGATACACATCATAATACAATGTTCATGTTGAAATGACAAATATAGTAACATCCTTAATTTGATTATCACACATGGCATGCATGCTTTGGAAAACCATATTGTACTCTACAAAGTTGTAAAACAATTCAATGTAAATGAGAAATTATTTTAAGAAAGAAAATACTACTTTAAAAATATGTAAATGTATAGAATAATGAATAGATCGTTTTAAATTTAGTATCAGAGCATATGGATGATCCACATATAGATACCTACTAAACATATGCAAAATGAGAACTGTTTCAACAACTATACACTTGCATTATAACAAGAAAAGAAAGAATGCAAAAAGAATGCAGAGTGTAAAACAAATAATCTAGTTACATACATTTTAAAAATGGATGTAGATTCCATGTCAGGTTATTGGGCAATATAATAATCTAATAGAAACATAATCTCAAATCAATCAAGAGCTCAAAGATGAAAAAATTAAATATAAGAATTAATTTAAAAGGGAGATTTCAAAGTTAAGGTACAAAAACATTGAGAAACACTGCCATTTATAAACTATAGATAAGTTAGACACTCAAGGACAAAATGTAATTTTCTGAAAATAAAATGAATAAAATCAATCACATATACAAATGATCTAAAATAATCACAGGGGCCAGCCTATATCATGGTGGTCAAGGCAGCAAAATGTCACATGGCTAACCCCACAGTTTGAGTCCTGGACCTGATGGCTTGAGAAACACACCAGGCACATGTGTGCACATGCCTAAAATCTCAAAAGGAGAGAGAGATGGAGGAGAAGGGGTAATAGGGTGACCATGCCCCATGTGAGTGCTTTCTCCTCTCTCTCTCTCTCACTTTAGTGAATGCACACACTCTCTAGAAAGGAAAAAATTTGAAAATATGGACCATGACATCAAATGGTTTTTTAACTGACAGAGAGGAATTTTCATAATGTATTCCTGCCTAATGAAACATTTCTCAGAAGGTGGTCTCAGAATGTATGTGCTTACAAGCAAATCCAGGATGAAAAACAGCAATGAATCAAGCAAACCACTATCAACATCGTTTCTTTTTTTTTTATGTATTTGTTTACGTCCTCTCACTGTACATCATTACAGCATACAAAATGAGATTTTCCATCCAGAGTACACTGTATATTGTCTCAATCAAGCACATCAACATACAGGTTATTGTCAACAAATAATTTTCCATGTCTTGTTTCCTGTATGTTTTGCTTTTTTCCCCCCATCCTTGATTCCCTATCTCTTACCCTCTGCCATCTCCCACTCTCTTCCCACACTGTCTCTGGTATCTATGTTTATTTTCTATACTGTTTCCCCCCCCCCATTTTTTATTGAATTAAAAAAGATTTTAATTAATCTAAATATTTTCATAGCAAACACAGCTGATATATACATTTCCATGAACAC